ACACACAAATGTGCATGCACACACACACACACACACACACACAGAGATGATTCAGAAGCACCAGAAAGAACCTTTTTAGGTCATCCTGTCAGATATTTCTTTCCTGCTCCCGTTCCGTTTCCCAGGGAGCTAGCTCCTCTGGGTCAATTTTAGATAAATCTTCCTCTTCACTGTTAGTCACAAAAGCCATCTCATTTCATCAATTGAAATACCAGTCCTGTGTCAAAATAATTTGAACTTCATTTAACTTTCAAGTTTCTCTTTTCTCCCAGCCGGATAAACCTTCAGGAGCCTGAACTTCAGAAGGATACGTGGTCAGTTTATTTTTTCTCTCCTGACTCCTCCTCCTCCTCCTCCTCTAGTAATTTACTAGTTATGGTTTTTGACCTCAGTAGGATTGGGAGGGGGAGGAGGGGGTGGAAATGAAGGTCCTACAAAGTTTTTTCTTTCCCCTCGGTAATTTAGACTGGTTTGTGGCAAACGCACGGTGCTCTCCTTTGCTTTTCATATGTGCCAGAAGAAAACTCTCTGTGTAGGAAGGAATCAAATTATTGGTTGACAGCCCCAGCTCTGGGCCAAGAGAGTAAAGATCGGTTTTCATTGTTTTAGAGAGACTCTTGCCAGAGTTCTGTAGGAAAAGCCAAGCATTAAATTAGGCAGTCGAGTAGCCTCATGACGATGCAGCAGTGGTGGAACAGCATGCTGTAACTCTCATTGTACTTTAAAAACTAAATGCTGGCAGTGAAAAATTTTCTGAGTCATTTTTCTCTAAAACAGATTCCAGAAGTGCACTCTTAAAATAAGTTCATTTTTGGAGTTTCATCTTCACTAGATAGCGGCAGGCCAGGAGACGGACTCCCTTCCCTGCATTTTCCATAGCTAGGACCATGGTTTAGCAAACTCTGTGTATATTGATGGATTATTGCTGGCTGCAACAAAGTTCGATAACTAAGAGCAAGAACTGTAAGGATTAGCTTTTTATAAAGAAAAGAGATTAATTATGGCACTTCAAAATGACTATAAAAATTTGTATTTGAAGCATATTTTAGAGGCAAAACTGTATTTTACTTACTGACATCCAACGTTGTTATAAATGAGATTTTTCCTCCCTTGAAAGTCAAAACATGAAAATGAAAAACCAAGCAACAAAACAATGAACTAAAGAACAAGTATGAATCAATGAACAGACCACAGTGTTAGAACAGGGCGTATTTACCCTACACGAGATACCATTCTACTGTATATATTCAAAATGAAAAATAAGGAAGTCATTACTAATTTATAAGAAGACTTACTGCATGCCATATTTGAAAAGCTACCTCTCGTTTACTGCTTTAAAATAGTACCGATTTTCAAAATGCATGTCTGAGAAACATACCTTTTAAGGCCATATTGCTTAGTGCAACGGGGGCAAACAATGAAAAGACAGTGTTTCCTGAGAAGCTGATACTGAGGACACAAAACAGATTCGTGAGGCGCTGGTGAAGGAAGAGCACACGACGGGGAGTGTTTCAGTAGCCGTGAGCACATTAAAGGTTGTTGGAATTGAGAGGTCACGGTTGAATCATGGTCCCGGAGGAGATAAGCTGCAGCTGGATTTTGAGTAATGCCAGGGCAGTACGTGTGGGAGAAAAGGGTGAGGATTCTGCAGGGCAGGATGGTGGGGCCAGTGGGAAGGCACCAGCTAAGAGGAACATCAGTGGATGGTACCAAACATGATGTACAGGAACAGGTAATGAGATTTTTTCTCTTTCTTTCTCTTTCTTTCTTTCTTTCTTTCTTTCTTTCTTTCTTTCTTTCTTTCTTTCTTTCTTTTTTAAGATTTTATTTATTTACTCATGAGAGACACAGAGAGAGGCAGAGACACAGGCAGAGGGAGAAGCAGGCTCCCTGTAGGGAGCCTGGTGCGGGACTCGATCCCAAGACCCTGGGATCACCCCCTGAGCCGAAGGGAGATGCTCCACTGCTGAGGCTCCCCGGCGTCCCAATGAGATACTTTCTTAATGCAAAGGGGCCACAGTAGAGAGAATGTCATATGCAGAAAGCTCCAGCTACACTGCTAGGGACAGAGACTAGGGTGGCATTGCAAAGGAGAGTGAGAATAAGGACGACAGCCAGGGGTCCTTGTGCTTTTGGCAGAGGCCACGATTGCATCTCCAGAAGTTAGAAATGGTTCTCTGGGGCTCAGGAGAAAAGGAGGGAAGAGCAGTTTCAGAAAAGAGGGTTTGATTTTGGAACCAGGGCAGGTGAAAGGGTCTTGGGACTGATGCCCAGAGCCCTCCTTCTCAGGGCCAACCTCATCCTAGTGTTACCAGTTAAATCATTCCTAAGAAGATCAACTGGTAACTAGTTATCTTTACTCACAGGAATTGAATTTAAATAAACATACTAGCACATCTATGGTTTTTGTTCTTTTGGGGGTTCAATGTATATTCAATAAGCAGTTACCATATGCCAGTCACTGTGCTAATCATTCCATAGTGGAGCATTTTTGGGAAATGTAACTAGCAGTGAGGGAGACAGCCCCCAGAACTCTCAACATTTAAGGGCTTTCGTGGGCTGCTGCTGTAGCTAATTTTAAGGCAAGCCCTCCTGTCCGCCTGTATTCTTATAGATCTCTCGGTCTCTCCCCGTCTCTCTCTCTCACACGTTCTCTTATTATATTTTATGATAATCTCCCCCTCGTGCTGACTTTTAAATCTTATTGTGTGCATTCTTGAAGGCATTTCATTTGCTTTTTGCGCCAAGGCTGAAAATAAATAAAATCAAAGTAAGGAAACTTCAAATTGTGCCAACCTGATGAATCAAATGTTTTTCATTTGTCTTTTCTCCCAACCTTTACCCATATGAATACATAATTTGCATGTATTTAGAGTCAGAGGGTTTGGGCAAAAAAAAAAGAAAATTAATTTACCCCCTCTCAAGGAAGAGTGGCGCACAAGGGCTATACATACTTCAGCGGGGCCTGTGCATAGGATCCCTGGTGGCCACAGTGTCACCTCCATCCTGGTGGCGTGGAGCGTCAGGGAGGCAGCTTGCCGAGAGCGCCTATGTTTAGCCAAGGTGGGTTGTGTGATAAGAGGGAGGGGGCCTGGCCACATGCTGTCTGACTCATTCTCTCAAGCACACGTGTCACTTTCTCCTCAGTCGGGACAGCCTCCTTCAGAAGACAGAGCCTGACTGTGCTGTTCCTGCCACCTTCATCTTCCACAGACCAATTTTCAGAAGCTAGTAGGCCCTGGGCAGCGTCGAGCCTTCCAGAATTCACATCATTATTCTGGCAGCTGGCCCTCACACCGTCGCCCTTTGTGGGCCCTGGAACTGCGGCCCGTGCTCCTGGGCAGTGGCTGACTGTTCCCCGGGCTCCTGAGCAGTGGGCCAGGCCACCGGAGGCAGCAGGAATGAAGCTCCGTGACCCCCGCTTCGTTCTCTGGCATTTCGTGTGCAAAGCTGGTAGATTTGTGTGCACACGTAAATATACGTGAGACATGTGATGTGCAGGATTTCAATCAGGGCTGGTCCAATGTAACTTTTAGGGTCCTTCTGACGGGTAATCAGCCAGAGATAAAGAGCACAGCCCAATTCTGAGCATGGATTTCAGTAACACCTTTACGTTCACCGCTCTAGGACCACAGACACTATCACTTCCCAGGGCCTCAGTTTCATCATCTTAATGTTGGGCATATTTGTGTTCTCCCGGGTTACGAGTTTTATCAGGGTAAGGGACATGAGTGGCACGGTGCTTAGCTGGTAGCCACCTGCCGATGACGGAGAGAGCTGAAAACGGCTTCCCTTAGCTGACATCGCAGTGAAGAGGCTCCTGTCACTAATAGGACAGGCACATCTGCATCTGCCTTCCACCCGGTGACGCTGACCACACAGATCACAAACAAGAGTTTGCCACAGAGGCCAGACAAGGCCATTGGCCTGCACACCACAGGTGCTAAGTTCGAATCTTGACATTACCTAATTCCAACTTCTAGGCAAATATTGTTTGGCTCAGGAATTGAATATCAGGGTATGCGGGGAACTGTATTATCAACTAATGGATAGTAAACATATGGCTGCAAGGTACCCTCACTTATGAGTGGGCCAAAAAGAACCAGGAACCAAACTACATTAGAATCAGATGAGATATTTGTGATTTGAGCCACCTCCTGGTCACGTGGTCACAGGGGTTTGGTTCATTGATGAACTGGTTCACGAAGGCTCACTGAGCACCTTCAGAGGATACAGCTAGGAAAGTGATACAGTTTCTGAGTGCCCTCATCTAGTAATTCGAACCCATAATATCTGCTGGCTCCTTTCCGGGGGCTCTGTTCGTGTGATGTGTAAACAGGCTCTTTGTAAATGGTGAAGTTCTAAACATACAAGTGGTGATTTATGTCCTCTCATACATCCCGTAGGTGTCTCAGTTTAGGAATTGATTGACTTGTACCAACACTATTTTTCCTCTGTGACTGAACTCCTGAAATGTCTACCATCCCCCCTACAAAGGGTATTAAATTTAGGGACTGAAGTCATTTCTTCACTTGCCATTATGGTGATCACTCATCATACGCTACAATTCCGGGGAGGCCTAGAAGGCACCTGCTCTGTGCTCATTTCCCAAATAGATAGATCCCTGCCAAACTTGCTAATGATGTAAAGTCCCGAAACTGAGAATTTGCTTCATTGTCACTATTTCAACGGAATGGCATCTTAAGCCCCACCATTTATATATACCTCATTAGGAATGAAGTCCGCCTAATAGTTTTAATAGGTTTTCAGTAGAGGAAAGGAATGGAACATGAGCTAATAGGGGTGAGAGCCCAAGTCTCGGAGAAGTGAGGTGGAGAGAGAACACGGCGGGTATGCGAGGTCGCAAGTTTTCTCCGTGGACTACCTGGACCGTGTGTAACGGGTAGTGTTGCTCTGATTCGCTAGGTGACCAGCAATCACGCAACATGATCTAGACACGGATCTTCAGGTGGAGGAAAGAGAAGAGGAATGCGTCTTACCCAGCAGGTCTTGTGTCTTCGATGGCTCTGTCCACGGGGATCAAGTCGCTGAGGTAGACGTTGAAGTTTCCTTCTTTCCACCTTCTTTCTGCCTCCTTCTCCTTCCCACGGGGAACGACCACGGGCCGTCCAAACTGGCCCGGAGCTTTGGGGTCCCTTGGAGAGAGCGTGGCGTCGATCCTCGACACAGGGCGCACGGCGTGTTGAGCAGGTGACCGGGCTCCTGGGCGACTTCGGCGGAGGCCCGCAGGGGGCGCCCCTGTGGGCGGGGGCTCGGCCGCGGCGGGGGCGGAGGCGGAGGCGGGGGCGGGGGCGGCGGCCGGGCTTCTCCTCGCGGAGGTGGCTTGGCCTCGGCCGTCCCCCAGGGCAGCGGGGAGTTCGGCCTTGTTTTCCGCCTCTGTTCTAGGCACCTGCTTGGGCTCCGGCCTTGGCTCCTCCTCCTTGGTCACGATCACAACGTGGCCTGCGGAGGAACCGGGCGCCCTCCCGGCGGCCGCTGTGGCCGCGCCCCCCGCCGGCCCCGCTCCCGGCCCGCGTTCCCCGGCAGGCCGCCCCCGGGGGCCTCCCGAACTGGCCCCGGGCTGGGGGAAGGCGAGGGTCCCGTCGGCTCTGCCTCGGTCTCGGTCTCGGTTCGCGGCTGGGTCTCGGCTCGGAGGCCCCGCTGCGTCGAGGGCGCCGGCTTCCCGGGGCTCGGGCACCGCTGCGCTGGCGGGCCGCGCGCCTCCCTCGGGGCCGCCGCCCTCCCCCCGGGCTCGCCCGGCCGCCGGCGCCCGCGGGCCAGCGCGGAGCCCGGGAGCCGTCGGGGCCTCGGCGGGTGCGTCCACGCGGCCCGCGCGCGCAGAGGTCGCGGCCGCTCGGGCTCCGGGCGCGGCTGCGGGGGGGGCGGGCGGAGCCCCGCGAGCCGTGCCCCGAGCTGTGTCCCGCTGGGCGGTGCGCGGCCCGGCGCGAGCCCCTGCCCGGGGCTGCAGAGGCGCAGGGGGCCGCCGAGCGGCGACCCGGCCTCCCGCGGCGCGGCGCGTCCTCCCGTCCGTCGGGGCCGCGGCCGGGGCGGCGTCAGCCCGCAGCGCGGTGCCCGCCGCCCCCCGAGGGCGCTCCCGGGGCCCCGGGTCCTGCCCGCGCGGCCTCGCCGGGGGCCTCCCGCCCTCCCCGCCGCCGCGCGGGGGCGCCGCCTGGTCCCGCTCGGGCCGCGCCCGGAACCCCACCGGCTCCCTGCGGACGCCGCGCGCCTGGAGCAGCCGGGAGCCGGCGTCGCTGAAGGACAGGCGCAGGGCTGCCATGTCGAAGAGCAGCCAGAGGACGGACGCCGCGAACACGAACGCCAGGACCCGCCCGCTGCCTCGGAAGAACTTGCGCAGCCCGTTCATGGTGCAGGGGCGCCGCCCGCCGCTCCGCTCCCCGCGCCCGCCGGCCCGGCCCCGCGCCCGCCGGCCGCCCCGTCGCCCCGCAGCTCGCCGCGGGCGGGGGGCGCTGCTGCGACGGCCGGGCCGCGGCTGCCTGCGTGGCGCCTGGCGGCGGAGACCCGGGCCGGCCCCGCGGGCGCCCGCGACACCGGCTGACCCCGCCCCCGCCCCCGCCCCCGCCCCGGCCCCCGCCCCCGCCCCGGCCCCGCAGGCGTCGCGCCGCCGCCCGCCCCGCGGCTCCCTGGCGCCCCGCGCGGCCGCCCTCGGGGCCCGGGAAGGGGGGGGGGCGCCTCCCCCCGGCACCCCCGTGACCCCCGCCGCCCCGCAGCCCCCTGGCGCCCTCCAAGGCCGCCCTCGGGGCCCGGGAAGTGGGGGGGCCGCCTCCGCCCCGTCGCCCCCGCAGCTCAGTGTCGCCCCGCGCGGCCGCCCTCGGGGCCCGGGAAGGGCCCCCGCCTCCGCCCAGTCGCCCCCGTGACCCCCGCGGCCCCGGGTCTCCTGGCGCCCCGCCCGGCGCGCTCCGTGGGGCTCGCACCTGCTGAGCTACGCGAGACTGTGCGTGTGTCTGGGCAGCTGGAGGGAAGGGAGCTTGCGGGCTCAGCCCCCCGCCCCCCGGGCGCCCGGGATGCGTGCGCCCCGTCCACGGCCTGCCCACCGGGCCTGCCCACCGGGCCGCGTAGCCCCACGCCAGCCGTGGGCGTTGGTTATTCAGAAGTTTCCCTCCAGCGGCAGTCAAAAGGCTGCTTGAGACGTCAGCGGTTTTTCCAAGTGACTCCACCTCTTTTTATCATTAGAGTCACTGGATAGAAACTTAATTTGTCATATTGCTGCAGAAGCTCCTAAAGGCTTACTCTCAGCTTCGGTCGGTATCTTGTCGCGGATCAGTGGCAGACACTTTGTCCCAGGGGTTGGGCCAGACTTGCAGAGGCACGGAGACCGGCCAGCAGTGGTCCCCACACAGAGGGCGGGTTAGGATCACCCCAAAGAAGTACACGCCCCCCTCCCCCCCCCCCCCCGCCGGCCCAGTTTTCAGTGACAGACAGGGGGTGGGGGCAGCCACCGCAGTTGGTCTGCTGTCCTACTTTTAGGAAGCTCCCAGGTCTTTATGATGCACAGCCAAAGCTGAGAAACGCTGATCTGGAATAAAATGCCTCTTATTTTTTTAAAAAATATTTTATTTATTTATTTGATAGAGAGCACGAGCAGGGGGAGTGGCAGAGGGAGAGAGAGAAGCGGACTCCTGCTGAGCAGGTGCCTGACCCGAGGGCCCGAGGCTCCATCCTGGGACCGGGATCATGACCTGAGCAGAAGGCAGATGCTTAACTGACTGAGCCACCCAGGCGTCCCCTTTTTTGTTTGTTTGTTTGCTTTTAAACACTGTTCATAACTTTTGTGAAATTCCCTCCCAGACAGAGTACAACGGAATCAAAACCTGCATTTGAACATCACCTGTTATAAACTTTGTCCGTAAAGTTTGAGAAGCACTTCCCAGGAGCTCTGTCCTCCGAGGAACTTCGAGTGACCTGTGGATGGCAATGCCACCTACTACTCTAGTGTTAGGAGGGGCCTAGCGTCTCTGCTGTCAGGTAAATTTAGACTCCCAAAGACTTCGGAAGGAAAGAAGGACAAATTCTGAATTCTCTGCACTTATGGTAGCATTTGGCCTTTAAATTTGCACCTCGCCCCAAAGAGGAAAAACCACATAATTGCAGCAATGGCAACATGTTTCTTGAATCCCTGGTTCACCTTCTTATTCAGTGCCAGCTCACTCCAATTTGGAATGTCCACATGGATGACAGCATTGGTAGCCCTCTGTGATTCATCCACTTTTCTAATATTTGTTATGTTTCATGGCTCCGGTCCTGTGTTAGGGGTTGAGGGATATTGAATAAAAGGACATAGTCCTTATCTTTGAGATCTCACACTCTGTTGGCGGACACAGACAGGTAGGCACATTTACAGGACATGGTAAAGTAATACAAGAGGATAATATATTGGATTCTACAGGGACCTAGCTTAGTTTCGAGATGCAGGAATAATTTTTGAAGAAACTATCCTTTAACTTGCAGGGTGAATGAGAACGTAATTATTTCTCCTCATATTATGGTGTGAGAAAAGAAACATTAGTTGGATGGTGAAAGGCAGATAAATTAGTAAAACCAGAGAAGTGTAGAGAGAGTATAGTACCCAAGGGGAAGCATAAATGTCTGAGAACAATATGATTGCAATAACAGGCTTTGCCATAATGGTCATGAGTGTGTGTGTGTGTGGGGGGGGGGTGCACCCGATATGCCCCCCCATTAGTAAAGTAAAAAGACTTTACTAATGTCTTTCCATTGAGTATCTCACTCAATCTCCAAACAACTCAAAAGGGAAGATAAAAAGCTTAGAGGGGTGAAACAACTTACAGTGGAAAAGGAGGATTTGGATTTCAAATATATGACTGTGTGATTGATGCTACAGTCCATGAACTTAAATGCCGTACGGTACTGCTTCTCTAGCTGTATAATCTTGTAAGTTAGTTAATTTTGTGTGTTTACTCTGTGATTAAAAAAAGAAAGTAACTTCTGCCTTGTAGGTGAATATAAAGATTAGAGAAAACAATTTTAAGTTCTTGTTATGTTGAACGATAATCACTGCCTCTAATACCGTTACTGATATTTTGTATGATAGGAGTGTGGGGTGCGTGTGGGAGACAGCATACCAGCTCTTCTCGAAAAACCAATAAGATGACTGATGACTAACATGATTTTGGCAACAGGGCAAGAAGGATATTTGAGTATTTTATTATTGGTTTGCTATTTCTAATTCCTTTACTTTGGATCCAATCAATGAACAGTTGTTCACTGAGAACTCACTAGAAGCCGGAAACATTGAAGTAGGTAACATTGTTTCCTCCCCTAATGACTTTAAAACTCTTGAATAGAAGAACACCTTCCGCATAAAGCGTAGCACAACTACTTGGGATCCAAGTTCCCAAATAAAGTGAAATTGTTTTTCATATCATGAATATGTGGTTTACATTATGATATTGCCTTAAATATGAAAATAGGCTGCTTTGAAATATTTTACTATCCAAGATTTAGGTCTTGTCCAACCACATCCCCACCCCAATGGTAGCTGGAATGACTCAAACTCCTGTTAGAAAAGTCAACACTTATCACATCCTTACTAATCTTGACAGCTTTAAAACACCACTTGAAAAATATCCCGAGTCTGCTATATGTATTTGATCTGAGAATAATGATTTCTTTTTCTCTGTCTGTCTGTCTCTCTGGTCTGTCCGTACAAATCAAAACATAAGGCATTTGCAACAGGAGGGAAAATTGTTAAGAAAATTAAAGGAGCGCCTCGGCTTATCTGCCAAGGTAAAGTTATTTATTAACCCTGGCTTAGTATCAAGTTCTAGCTGATGTAGAATACAGAATATGAGGAGTATATGAGAAAGGAGAGAAACAGCCTAGTCCCTTGCAACAGAAGGAGTGGATTGATAGGCTTGGTCTAAAGTAGTGACTGGACTGTTAACAGACATGGTCATGGATATGTTACACGAGAAAGAGCTCCTCTAAAGGCCTCTTAGGACCACTTGCCCATTTTCCGCCCCGGTTCCTATAAGAATCTGTAGGAATGACAAAAGTTAGTTGTAAATTTCATTATAGACCCGATGTTATGGATCTTCAGGAACTCAGCAATAATTTCTGGTGGCCCTCAGTATCTATACATATCTCCTCTTTTTTCCTCTCCTCTCTAGACACATGATACTACACCAATGACAAAGTGTGGATAAAAATAAATAGAAAACAAGGAAATTATACACTTAATAAAACTGTATATACACTTAATATAAGGTAATATATACATTATCCAACAGATGAACTTTCATATAGGTAAATAGTGTTGTTTTTTACTTTACTTGTATTAATTTCCATGTTACCACCAGAAAACTAAATATATAGGTGGGCTGACTAATTACTTCTGGCTGTTATTCCAAATGGTAGCTTTAGCTGGTCAAAGGATCCTGGGGTCCTAGGATAGAGCCTCCCTGCTCAGCGGCAGCCTGCTTCTCCTTCTCTTTCTGCTGTTTTCCCTGCTTGCACACTCTTTCTTTCTCTGTGTCAAATAGGATAAATAAATAAAATCTTCTAAAAAGAAAAGAGTTTGAGGATTCCTCAAAAAACTTAACAATAGAATTACTCTATGACCCAGTAATTCCACTACTGGGTGTTTACCCAAATAAAACAAAAATGCTGATTTAGAAAGATATATGCACTTTTATGTTTACTATAGCATCATTTACAATAGCCAAAATATAGAAGCAAACCTGAATGTCCATTGATAGATGAATGAATAAAGAAATAAAGATAATGTCACACACACACGAATATTACACAGCCATAAAAAGGAAAATCTTGCCATTTGCAACACATGGATGGTTCTAGAGAGTATAATGCTAAGTGAAACACCAGTGAGAGAAGGACAAATACCACATGATTTCACTCGCATACGGAATTTAAGAAACAAAATGAATGAACAAAGAAAAAAAAGACTTATTTTTTTTTTCTTTCAACATTTATTTACATTCAAGTTAGTTCACATATAGTGTTGTATTAGTTTCAGGGGTAGAGTTTAGTGTCTTCTCAGTTTCATATGACACCCAGTGCCCTCCGGTACGTCAAGTGCCCTCCTAATGCCCATCACCCAATTGCCTCATCCCCCCACCTATCTTTCCCTCCAGCAACTTTCAGTTTGTTCCCTATAGTTAGCTGTCTCTAATGGTTTGCCTCTCCCTCTGTCTTTATCTTATTTTTCAGAAGATACTTAAATACAGAGAACAAATTGGTGGTTGCCAGAGGGAAGGTGGGTAGGGGATGAGTAAAAGATAAAGAGATTAAGAGTACAATTATCTTGATGAGCACTGAGAAATGTACAGAATTGTTAAATGATTATATTGTATACCTGAAACTAAT